GATTGAGTTGATTTGATTTTTATTTAGCCAGTTAGCCTATATTTATCCTATCCGATCCAAAGAGCTTACATTACATCCCTTAAAGTCCTCTTGATTCATTGTTTCACGAATTTGATTGTTTTAGAGTAGGAGTTAGACAATAGGCAAACTTATGATTGATTTGACTGACGACCAATTTGAGTGTACCCAGTTGATATTTGAGAAAGAAATTGAGTGAGGCACATATGATATACTTTTGTACTCGAGAGTCTATGTCCTTCAAAATAGCCAAGTTAATAGTTGAGGTGTGCTCTTGTGATCATTTGAATTCTTCTTGACTTGATTGATTGGTTGGAGATTAGTCTTGCTTGAACCGTTGTCCTTGCTCATTTGTTTATCTTATCTTTTCTTTTATTTTCTTTTTGTTCGTGACGAACAAAGGTTTTAGTGTGAGGGAGTTGTTTGTCCCATTTTTGTTGCTATTTCTGTTGGTATTTTGCGTGTGTTTTCCCCCGTTTTAGGTCGTTTTTTAGGCGTTACCGGTCTGTCTAGTCATTTCTCGTATTTTAGTGTTATTTAGTCATGTTTCGTGTTTTCTTTGTCTTTTCTCCTATTTTCTCTTGCTTTTCGTGTTTATCCGGTTTTGGTGATTTCAGGTTGTTCCGGTTCCCAGGTGTTTCATCCCAGTTCATGTGACCAAACATGCAGAAGTCGAGTTTCCAGCTCGGGCAGTACCCGAGCAACGCTAGCCGAGCACGCGAGCCGAAGAAAAAAGCAACTTTATGACCTCCCAGAGCCTTAACACCGCTAAGGTTAACCAGGCTAGCGCCGCTACCTTTCTTACCGATGGCTGGCTTGAACAGCTAAGATACCTTAGCGCCACTAAGGCACCTTAGCGCCGCTAAGGTCTGTTTTGTAACAGCCGCGATTTTTAGGAAATTTCGAATTGGGAAGGATAAAGCTCGGGGCTAGGGAATTTGTTGTCATTCTGAACATTGTATTTTCGTATTTTTCACTTCCAGAACACACATTTCTCTCAGTTTTTCATAGATTTCAATCTTGGATAGTGAAAACTCCAAGATTAGACCTTTGGATTCGGATTGTGCGTTACTTTTCGACATTTGATTCGTATTTAATCGTAAGCTTTCTATTGCATTTTATCTATGGTGATGATGGCTTTGATTGATGTTAATGTTGATGTTGAATTTGTGACGAGTAGCTAAATTTGTAGCTAGGGTTAAGGGATAGTCGTTCCAGTTCGTTTTCAATGACGTGTATGTTGATTGCTCTGTCTTTGCGAGTTGTACTAATCCTAGGGTTAGATGATTGATCACCATCCTAATCTATTTAATCGATTTTAGAACCGAAAGGGGTGAAATCGATCTATCTTGTCTCATTTAGAATAGACTTGTTCGGAGACGTATTGTCTATGTGTTAATTGATTCGATGATTGTTCGTTTATGTTTAATTCTCTTGTTACGTGAGTTATTGAGAATGAACCTCTTGATGACTTGGTATTCGAGTCCTTTATCCGAGTAATTGGTTGCTCGTTAAATGTATTGAGAACCGGAAGCGATTGTCCTCGACACCCTAGTCCCTTTACCACTATTTGAATCGTGTTTGAAGTTGTGTGATTGAAATTGCCTTGTTTGAGAATTCTTAGTAGTTAATCTCGTAGTTGATAATCAAAACCATCAAATCGAATTAGAGTGTTTAGGACTTGTTTTCTATTTTTGTGTGATTGAATATCCATACAAATAATCCGGCTAACCTTCCTTGAGATATGATACGGTGTTCGAATCTTTCGATTTAACTCCGGTAAAAATAACTACAACATATACGGATTCCACATTTGCATGAGAATACTTTTCCCTTATTAATTTCTGTAAGTAAACCAAAATTCTTGACCAACAAAAGTAATAGTCAGTTCTCTTTGGCCAACGAAAAATTGCAATGACTTGGTTGGAGAGATGCTTTTAATCATATTTTAAGTGTAGCCTATTACTTGATCCAAAGTCCATTATATAGGATTATGGGCCTTCACTTAGAGAGGTGGGCACGCCTATATAATTTTCTATAACCATCCTGAAGGAAGTTTGTTCTGTTCATCAGCAATTAATTCATCATTGGAGAGGAAGACACCTAAAGCCGACGCACAAATTATTTCAATCACCAGCAAAATGGTAATGGTGCAACAAAATATTAAATTTAATTAAAATTCAGTCCCTTAGTATTTTAAATTTACTTAATATGCCTATTCCATAAATAAATATTATTCACATTAAAAAATAATATGCATATCCCATAAATAAATATTATTCACATTAAAAAATAATATGCTTCCATAAATAATTATTATTCATAGTAAATAATTAATTGCAATAAATAGTGAAGTAAATAAATAAATACATCTATTATGATTAATTAATAGTCCAAGTTGCACAAGTAAATAGACAGGATTTTTTTCTTTAGATAAAAATTCAAAAAAATAAGTGGACAAAAACAAAAAGAAAAACTAAAATGTGGACCAAAAAACAATGTAAAATGTATTCTCGGAATACGTTTTAATTTTAAAACGTATTTCAATAATACGTTTTATAAATAAAACTAATTTTATAATTTACATTTAATTGTAAAATGTATCCCGTAATATGTTTTACAACTAATTAATTGTAAAATGTATTTTGTAAATACGTTTTACAAATTAAATTAATTTTATAATTTATATTTTTTTGTAAAACGTATTACGGTAATACGTTTTACAAAAAAATTAATTATTTATATTTAATTTTCTTCATTTTTCGCTATATATTAGCTTATTTAATGAGGCGACTTCGGGTGTTTCGTTAGATCTCGATAAGCGAGTCGAGCATTAACAAAAAGTGCTTTCGAGAAAACACGAGAAGAGGAGAAGCCGTTTATGGTGTCGATTTATTATTTTGAGGTCCCGATTATTTATTTAAAGAAGCTCGAGTTCGAGGGTGCATATTAGTAAAATAAATGAAAAAACCGTTTACGTGAGTCCCGCAAGGTCGCGTGTGACTTCGGTTTACTGATAATCGAGTTGGGGCGTGTAGATAATAAAGGCACGATGTAATGTGGGGCATTTATCGAGTATTTCGGAGTTCCGAGCATTTAATTAGAGAAAATTGAATTCCCGTCGGAATAGTAACAAATAAGCGAGAAGAGGAGACTTCGGGTGTTCCGTCGGGCCTCGATAAGCGAGTCAAGCATTAACGAAAAGTGCTTTAAAGAAAGTACGAGAAGAGGAGAAGCCGTTTATGGCATCGATTTATTATTTCGAGGTCCCGATCATTTATTTAGAGAAGCTCGAGTTCGATGGTGCATATTAGTAAAATAAATGAAAAAGCCGTTTACGTGGGTCCCGCAAGGTCACGTGTGACTTCGGTTTACAGAGAATCGAGTTGGGGCGTGTAGATAATTCAGGCACGATGTCATGCGGGATATTTATCGAGTATTTCAGAGTTCCGAGCATTTAATTAGAGAAACTTGAATTCCCGTGGGAATAGTAGCAAAATAAGCGAGAAGAAGAGACTTCGGGTGTTCCGTCAGGCCTCAATAAGCGAGTCGAGCATTAACGAAAAGTGCTTTCGAGAAAGCACGAGAAGAGGAGAAGCTGTTTATGGCATCGATTTATTATTTCGAGTGCCCGACCATTTATTCAGAGAAGCTCGAGTTTGAGGGTACATATTAGTAAAATAAATGAAAAAAGCCGTTTACGTGGGTCCCGCAAGGTCGACTTTGACTTCGGTTTACCGAGATTTGAGTTGGGGCATGTAGATAATTCAAGCACGATGTCATGCGGAGCATTTATCGAGTATTTTGTAATTCCGAGCATTTAATTAGAGAAACTTGAACTCCCGTGGGAATAGTAGCAAAATAAGCGAGAAGAAGAGACTTCGGGTGTTCCGTCGGGCCTCTATAAGCGAGTCGAGCATTAACGAAAAGTGCTTTCAAGAAAGCACGAGAAGAGGAGAAGCCGTTATGGCGTTGATTTATTATTTCGAGGTCCCGATCATTTATTTAGAGAAGCTCGAGTTTGAGGGTGCATATTAGTAAAATAAATGAAAAAGCCGTTTACGTGGGTCCCGCAAAGTCGCGTGTGACTTCGGTTTACCGAGAATCGAGTTGGGGCGTGTAGATAATTCAGGCACGATGTCATGCGGGGCATTTATCGAGTATTTCGGAGTTCCGAGCATTTAATTAGAGAAACTTGAATTCCCGTGGGAATAGTAGCAAAATAAGCGAGAAGAGGAGATTTCGGGTGTTCCGTCGGTCAAGAGATTTTAAGAATAAATTGGTCATGCAAGCATCATTTAATAGAGGGGGTCGTTAACTGCGTATAGGAAAAAACGAAACTCAATTCCGAGTTCAGACGATCCCAAACGAGCTCGAAACACAAAATACATACTAAATATTAATTTTTTTTCATTAATTTTAAATATAAAACGTATTATAAAAATACGTTTTATTTATTAATTTTTTTTAAAAACGTATTATAATAATATGTTTTATAATGTTTTTATATTTTTTTTTAAAATAAAATTAATTATAACACGTATTTTAAGAATACGTTTTTTAAATAAAATTTAATTATTAAAACGTATTCTGAAAATACGTGTATTTGATTTTGGGCTACTGATTTTTTATTTTATNAAATAAATTACCCAAATAGACAGTCCAAGTCCATATTAGAATTGTCATTTTATATCCCCTGAGAAATTTAACACGTGTGCAAAATGTGATATAAAAAATCTCACACACCCATAACAATTGTTGGTAGCCTTTCATTCTCAACTGAAAAACTTTCCAAAAACTGAACAGGCCAATAGCAACATCTTGGCTGGAAAATCTTGCCAAAAAAACTAGCTGGAAAATATCTACGGCAGCACATACTTCTCGCAAATTAACTTTTATCTAAAAAAAGTCCAAACTCACGTTAGGCAAGCCGTCGAAAATCTTTCATGTAGCAGACATACTTCAATAGAAAAAAGAAAACGTCAACCATCATCCACACACAACCCTTTGTCATCAGCGGCGGATACAGAATTTTTTCCCAGCCAGGGCAAGATGAAAAATTAAATACTTAAATTTTTTTAAAAAAATCACTTCAATCAAAAAAAAAAAAAAACAATATAAAAAAAAAAAAAAAAAAAATACAATCTTTTAGTCAATGATGGGAAGGTAACTGTCCACGGCGCGATTTCATATTTTGAAATCGATGCATTATAGCATCATTGCTAATGCTATTAAATACATCTTTCTCAATATAAACAAGTAAACTGTCATTCATCCATTGATCTCCCATTCTATTGCGGAGTGGATTCTTCACGAGATTCATAGCCGAAAATACTCTCTCCACTGAAGCTGTAGCAACCGGAAGAACTAAAGCCAAATTTAGAAGCTTGTAGATCGATGCATAAGTTAGGTGCTTTCTTGTCTCCACCATTTTTTTTGCAAGACCACCGAGCCCCTTAAGTTGAGAAAAATTAGTATTCGTTCGCATATCAGTGATGTAGATATCAAGCTTGTCTTCAAGTGCTAACACATCTCTTTCAGAAAAATCTCTCGGATAGAATTTAGCAAGGCGGAGTAACTTTTGCTTGTCGAAAGCAGAAAATGAATCATCCGGAGTCAAGCTTGCAACACAAATGAGAAGCTCGGTGTTTACCTCATTAAAACGGTCGTTCAAATCTGAAAGTTGTCTATCAATCACTGAGTAAAAGACATCCACTCGATAATGATGTAAGACCGTTAACTTCTCAGCCCTACGCTGAGATTTTCCCTGAGCAACAAACATAGCATCCATGTCCGGAATATTAATGTCATGCTTATTACAAAAAGAATTTACCTTCTGCAACAAATTCTCCCATTCACATTCTTCCTCTCTCATTCTTTGGAGTTGTTGCTTACTTGCCCTAACCAAATCCATAGCATTGACAATATCCTGATCATTCCTCTGCAGTGCTAGTGACAACTCATTCGTTACACCTAAAATTTGTCTCATTAGAAAAAGACAAAATACAAAATCAAAAGATTGCATCTGTACAAGCAACAAATTGCATTCTCCTCTTTGATCAGCACTAATCCCATCCTCGATTATCATTTCAATAACTTTAATAATAGATGAGAACATAGAGATAATGCTCAACAAAGTATTATAATGGGAACCCCAACGTGTGTCACCTGGACGTTTGAGAGCGGTTTCTTGGTTTAGTCCTCTTCCACTTGGGAGCTCATCATTGTAGAGAGCTTCTATTAGTTCATTTTGTCTTTGCTCCCGAATAAGATCACGACGTTTACAAGATGCTCCAACAAGGTTGAGGACTCTTGTCACCATGAAAAAAAAAGAAGCAACCCCGACATGATTTTTAGCTAAAGCAACAAGTGCAAGTTGAAGTTGATGGGCAAAACAATGAACATAAAAGGCACAACTATTTTCTTTCAAAATTAGTGCCTTGAGACCATTAAACTCGCCTCGCATATTACTCGCCCCGTCATAGCCTTGGCCTCGAAGATTTGATATGCTCAACCCATTTCTAGAAAATAGCTCATCAATCGCAAGTTTTAAAGAATATGCATCAGTACTTTTAACGTGTTCAATGCCCACAAATCTTTCAATTACTTCACCTTTAGTATCAACAAACCGTAGAACCACCGCCATTTGCTCTTTTACCGAATGATCTCGGGCTTCATCAACCAAAATAGAAAAGGGAGCATCACCCACTTGACACATAATTGCATTAACAGTTTCAACAGCAGCTGTATTTATAATGTCTTTTTGTATACTAGGTGACTTCAACTGAAGATTTCTGGGTGCATTTTCAAAGGCGACAGCCTTAACACTATCATTATGTTGAGCAAGAAACTCCAAAAGTTCAAGAAAGTTTCCTTTATTTTTTGAAAATTCGGATTCATCATGACCACGAAAAGCAAGACCTTGTCGTAACAAGAAACGAACACAATCAATTGAAGCATTCAAGAGAGTATAATAATTCTGTTTTGAGACTTCCACTTGGCGACTAATAAGTGACTCGAGGTGTTGTTTCTGATTCATTAAAGCCTGACAATTTAACAGAGCACGATGATGAACACTACCCACAGTGCCGACATGATCTTTGACTCCTTGTTTATTTTTCCAATTATTATAACCTGTAGCTGTGAACGTATCGCTACCCCCTTGGTCACCATGTTCCGGTTTAAAGAGAAAACAACAAAGGCAAAATAAAGCATCTTTCTCTATGCTATACTCTAACCACTCAATATGATCATCGAACCAAGAAGAATTAAACCTGCGCTTAGTCCCGTAGATATCTCGCTGAGGAAACTTATGGCTTCGAGGTTGACAAGGACCCTTGAGTAGATAATGTCGTCTAACTTGATCGCAAATATTTGGATCATAATCTAAGATACGCTTCCGGTGTGCCGGATCTGAGGGGAGATTTTCCAAAAGTTCGCCAAGTTCGGTGCTCTTTGAATTTTCGCCAAGATCGATGCTCTTTGGATTTTGATTATCGAGCTTACTCTTCTTATTAGATGACAAAAGAGTTGAAGGTTCCTCAATATTTGCTACTTTTCGATAGTACTTCTCCATTATTGTAAGTTTGTAACTCTGCAAGCAAAAATTGATTTCAATCAACATAAGAATTCTACAAAATAAGAAAACTCAATTGTAATTTGAAGCTCGCCATATCATTTATTTTAATTAGCAATTTCAATTCTACAAATTCAATTTCTAATCTTTGTTTATTCCTTTCATAGCTCCTTGCAAAGTGATTTTCTTTTCGATTCTATGTACGCTTGATTAACAAAAACCGGAAGAATCAAGATTAAAATAATAATAAATATAAATCTATATTCTCCAATCCATATTTCTCATATCAAAATTGTAACTTTCATCCAACCCAATTCAATTATGCTACAATGGAAAACACACACACAAACATATTAAAAGTGCAACTTTCATATATTTTTTTTTTCCATCCACAATGAGAAATTTCATAAAACTCAAAAATATACAAGCTGTGCTACAAATGGTAGCAAGTTCAGAAAGGACTACATCAGCCACATGGCCCACATCTTCAAAACAGTCTGCTAAGCTTCTACAAAACAGACTATGAGAAAAGATACTAATTGAAATATACAAATTCACATCTAGAGAAAGAAAGTGCTAGAGCAAAAACATCAAAGGCTAAAGAGTAAAGAATTACAACACACATCAAATTCCAGCCTGTCAGCTAACTTCTTTGCAAGAGTCTTATTATTTAATTTAAAACAGCAAAACATTAAAAAAACAGCAATCCATCCAGCCCTCTTGCAGTCTTACAGTACCAAATTCATCACCCATCTAACAGCAAAAACCCATATGCCCTCATCACACTTCACACACAGCAAAAAAACACATCATATTCATCGAACCCAATTCTATTTTGCTAAAAAACCTAAAACGAAAAACACCCCCAATTTTCAAAACAAATAAACACACACACACACACAAACAAACATACCTTTTCTTTTCCTCTGTATAGTTGGCAAAAGAAGGACAAAAAAATAAAGACGAGAGATTGGATGACGGGCGCGGGCGACCAAATTTGATATTAGGGTTTAGGGAATGGGGATCTTGACCTTGTGAAGGTAAACCCTTTGTTTTCCTTTGTGTCTGCAGTCTGCGGTTTTGATGGGCAGAAAAATAAAATTTATTTTCTATTTTTTTTTTAACTTATGAAGACCAAAACGGCGTCGTTTTGGCTTCAATTTAATAAAATTAATTGAAGCCAAAATGACGTCGTTTTGTGGGATGTTCAAAAAATTAGAAAATTCTTACCTGCAGTCACCTTCTTCCTTGCCCTCTGCGAACCTGGGCAAAAGCTCCATTTTAGTATATTCACTCAATAATTCTATTATAAATGGTAATTAACAGTAAAAATTGAGCCTGGGCAATTGCCCAGGCTCGCCTTAATGTCCATCCGCCCCTGTTTGTCATGCCATCTTTTTGCCGTCAATAGTCCTAAGAAGGGTCCATCATCCTCACAACATCTTCACATGAGCAACTGTCGGAAAATTTTGCAAGCGGAGTCTTTGGTTCGGCTAGTGGTGTTGGCCGGTCGAGGCTGTGGTGTGGCGGGGGGCGATTTGGGTGTTTCTGGCCAAGGGTCGGGTCGACTTTCCTGGTTTGGTTCGAGGCTTGGGTTCGACTTCGGTTAGGCGGTTTTCAGCAATTTCGGAAGCGATTTCTTAGGCCGAGGATCTCTCATTGGGGTTGATTTTCGTCTACTGGAGTGGCTTGATTGATCTGCCGAGGAAGGGCTCATTTTTAGCTAGTTTTATCTTTTTATGTGTTTCTGTTTTTTGGTTGTTTGTTTAGGATTCGTGTTTTTAATTTAGGTCATTGACCTCTGTGGTGCCCGAGTGTGAGCGGATATTATCCTTTTGGGATCGTTCATTCTCTATTATTGGAGCTTAGTAGTGCTTTATTTTTTATTTTTTTTTAGTTTGTATGGTAGTGTTTGTTGTTCTAGCGTTGCTAGCTTGGTCTTTAGGCGATCTCCAGATATGTCATCCCAATTTTTAGCTTTCAGTTGTATCATTCAGCTTTGTGCTGCTCTATGTTTGCACATTTGTGCGATTTATAAAATCTCTATAGTTTCGAAAAAAAAAAGAAGATACAATAAACAAGATAAATAAAATATAATTTATTGTGTTATTATTGTAATATTTTATATGATAATTTTTTTTTGTGGTACATATTTTATATGATAATTTAAATTATATCTAAAACAAGCATACAACTTATAATGAATCAAATTAATCCAATTAATTTTTAAAAAATCAAACTCAAATTAACACACATTTAAATAATATTTGCATTAGACATATATATTGTTATAAATATTTAGACTGGTTATCATTTTTTACGATGTTAGAATAAAAAATGTATACCATTTAAATAGTTATTACTGTATTAGTTATTCATTATTTTTTGTATACTTATTTTTACAATCACAATAATATGAATACTTTTATATATTTATATTTTTATCATATATATTTTTTTTTCCGAACACATACACGGTTATCGTACTGAATTGCGGACTTGGTTGACTGGATAAGGCGAATTCAAATGATGAATTTGCACATCCCGAGTTCCATTTTCAAAGCGAGCGAACTCCCAATCTGATTGCCTCAATTTTTCGGCCGAACCCTATTTTATTTCCAATCTGATTACCTTGTACATGTTTCTGAATCGAAGTCTAAAATGTTTATTCTTAAAATTCACACGGTCGACTTCTCTCAGCCCCTCGATGCCTCCACCACCTCCGCCGCCAACGCTCACAGTGACCTGAAGCCCTTCGAACTGAGGGGCGTCGCCCACCTCTTCCGCCAGCTTCCCTCCGCCACCCACGACGGCGTCCCCGCCGCCAGCGTAAGGGCTCTCACCACTGTCGTCTTCGTGGTGGCCGTCCCCAGTTATATGTCGGAGAATGAATTCCTCGTCTTCTGTGGGAACCACGTCCCTTACTTTGAAGAAATCCTCTTTATAAAGTAAGAAATCCATTGCAATCATTATATATAGCTTTATATTGTGGTGATCCCAGATGACCATTTTCATGTTTGATTTGTCGCGTACTGAATTTGATTGATAGTAATTTCGGTTTTTGTTGTTTGTTCGTTTGAGTATGTAATTTTGTTTGTGTATCAGGAACGAGGGGATCGAGGACAGGTACAGTGTTCTTATCAGGTTAGAAAGTCAGTTGGCGGCTGACGGATTCTATTGTAGTTACAACGGCAAGAGATTCAAGCCGCCTGAGGTAATATTACAGACAATAAATGGCCTGTTCACTTTTCATCAGCATAGGTTCTGCATTTTATATATTTTTATTTTCTTTCTTTTTTGTATATGTTGGTTGATTGTATTTTCCAGGTTGAGATTTGCCATATATACTTCGCTCATTCAGTTGAGTATAAGGACTCTGCCGAAATTGCTAGTGTACCTCCTCCTGACTATACTGAATTGCCCTCTTGTCCAGTTTGCCTCGGTTAGTTACTTAGACTAATGTGTGTGTGGGTGTGGGTGTGGGTGTGTGTGTGTGTGTGTGTGTAGTGCAACTTAGTTTTGCTGTGGGCATTAGCTTGTGTTCGTTGTATTTCTGCATCTTTTACTTTGTTTTTCTGTTTCTTTTCCCTGTATTCTGATGTTCTTTAATCAATGAATTTGTTAGAAAGGCTGGACCCAGATGCCAGTGGAATACAGAGCACATTGTGCGACCATTCTTTTCAGTGTTCTTGTGTATCAAAGTGGACGTACTTGTCCTGCTTGGTCAGTTATTCGCCCGCCTCTTTATAATTTTCTGTTATTTTTAAGATTTCCTTTTCACTCGAACCTTGTATCATTGTATGATACTTAAATTGCCCAATTACATCAAAAGTTAGATGACGTTTCTAGAGCCAGTCTAACCCGCCCATTCATGCAAATAAAGAAATTTATATCTCACATCATCTTGTGGGCAGTATTTTATTTCTTGTAGAATCCATTTCTTGTGTACTAAACCCGACTTCTGCTTATCATCAGACGCATGTATAGTTGTGTATTTATAATTGAACATTTACTCAAAATGTTATCTCATATTTTTTTATTATATTGTTGTTGAATTCACGAATATGGTTTTCCTCCATGGTATTATTCATCTAGATTTCATAGTATATGTGTAAATATGCTCTGCAGGTTTGCCGACTTTGTCAGCATCAGGATGAAAAGCCAACCTGTGCTATTTGCGGAACGTCCAAGAACCCGTGGATCTGTTTGATCTGTGGTTTTGTTGGATGCGGAAGGTATAATGGTTATTTCATTTATCTTAAATCGTTGGCTACATGGGCTGCTTTTGGAGGCCTTAAACTGTATAAAAACATGCTACTTTGTTGATTTTATGATAACAACAGATGACAAATTAACTGATTCTAGTAATTCATTGATGTAGATATGAAAAGGGTCACGCTCATGCACATTGGAGAGACAAGAAACACCATTTTTCTCTGGAGCTGGAAAAGCAACAAATCTGGGATTATGTCAGAGATAAATATGTCCATCGACTGAATCAATCAAAAGCTGGTGGGAAATCGGCCATTGAAAATTCGCGGTGCAACTCGGTTGAAAAATGTGGGACTTGTGGATGTGAAGAAGGGTTGGATGGCACTCTCTTTAGCAGCAAAATCGAAGGGGTATGTCGTCTTGTTCATGTTAACCATACCAAAGTTTTTCATATTTAAAATAAGTAATTTGCAACCTGCAAAAATATTTTTTCGTTAGATGTCCTTTTTTTGTACGATTGAGACAGCTGTTTAAAATGGACTAGCACTTTATTCAAAATGGGCCTTCCGTAGTAATGTATATTTCTTTATTTCCTCCTGGCAACAGATTTTGGATGTAATGTATATTTCTTTATTTCCTCCTGGCAACAGATTCTGGATGAATACAACCGTCTTCTAGCAAGTCAGCTTGATACACAAAGACAAGTAAGTTAAACTCCAGAGACTTGAAGTCGTAGGTTTTTAATTAGTCGTATGTCTGTACTTGCAGTAGTTGTCAATCTGGTTAGGATCCTTCTATAGTCTAGACTTGTAACATCTTTTTACAAATTTGCCTCATATTGTCTGTCAGCATTATGAATCTTTGCTTGCTGAGTCGAGAAGTAGAAAAGACGCATCCATAGCAAAGGCAGTCGAGAAGGCTATATTTTCAAGGACCCATGATCTTGAATACAAATTGGAAAAGTGTGAGAAGGAGAAGAAGGCTGTTGGTGATGTAAACTTCATTTTCCTTTTTCTTTCATTTTCCCCTGTGGCTAAGCTTTTGAAATATTTTTTTATCTACACAACTAATCTGTGACCAAAATAGATATACTGAAGTTTTCTCCATAAGAACTTGTTGTAAAATGTCTCAACTTCTCTTATTATTATCTCAGAGGAATCAGGAGCTTATGAAGAAACAAGAACTCCTTCAGAATAAGTTCAAGGACGTTGAAGAAAGGTAATTTTTTTCTCCACTGGCAGATACTCTTGTATCTACCTGCTTATATCAGGCATTGCTTATTTATAAGGCTGTTATTTACTTGTTAAAGTTCCTGAACAACTTACTAATCTGTAGTTCATTGGGCTTTTGATGGAAATTATTTGGTTATTTTTGTTGGTATTTCCATCCTCTTGAGTTTAATTTTAATTTTTTACTTTTGAAGCATTTTATGGTTTCCTAAAGTGTTTTGCCAACATGAATTCTATTTCTACCAGGGAAAAATCATCTCTGAAGTCAATGGATGAAAACATTTTAGAATTGCAAGAACAGGTGTGTTTCCAAGGGATCATGCCTAATTTCATTCAACGTATTAGTGAATACGTGAAGGCATAAGTTACAATGTGGTGTTTAAAATTGCAGGTAAGAGACCTGAAGTTTTATGTTGAAGCACAAAGGATGGTTACGAACACGGCGGACTTGGATGGCATCAAAGGAGGCACAGTTTTGCCTGTAGAATCAAGTCAAAGTCAGTCCTCTTCTGGCAGCTCCTCCAGAAGGCGAACCAAGCCTGGCCGACGAAGGAATTAAAGATTGTCTTGACTCTTGATTACTATGGTAAATATTTGTTTTGGTTGTGGGAAATGAAAAGTAATTACCCGTGCTATTGTAAGTTTACGCCAAAGTTAAGAGTGGTGGATATTGTTGATCATTATTGTGCGTTCAGGGCGTCGTCATAATGAACCATGAGATTTGTTCTGTGTTATGGAATTTGTGGATGCATATAGCCAAAACTTTAGTGGACTAGTGTTCGAGTTAATTGTTTGTTGTAACATCTCTCAAGTTTTTGTTCTGCTTGGGAACTAGAGGATTAGGTTGAATTCTTTTTGTTGAGGGATTAAATTGGTGGTTGACCTATCAAAAATTCAATTGTCACTACAGGTGTAAACGAGCGGAACTAAGTTTGTGCTCACGATACTCGAGCTCGTTCTTGAGCCTTTATTGAGCTTGGAATTTGGGGAGATGCAGAATTGCACTTTAATACTATAAAATATGAACGTTCTTATAAGTTGCAGAAGCAATTCAAAATGTAAAATTAACTTTCAGGAGATTATATCACTCTCTTTCGGAACTCTTCACTTAAATAAGTGGTTGGCCAAGTACAAATAAGATTTACAGCAAAGACTCTTTTAACTTACGATGTACATATTTATTTTTTTTGGCCACTCCTCGTTGACTTTGAGTTACAGACATTTATCTTTTCCAAGGTAAGTATGTTCTTCTCCAGCATCCAAATATAGTCACTCTTAATCAAGGTAAGTTTGTGTGTCCAAGTTCTTCCTTCTCGTCTATGCATGATAACACCCGCACATCTCTCATTTGTCTAAACAAGGTAAGTGTCATCAGTCTGCGCTTCTCTTTCTCGTCTATGCAAGGTAAGTCAATAGCCCGCACCAAAAATTCCTATAACAAAAAATATCAATAAGTCCAAGAATAATGAAGCAAATTAGAAAATGAATTTAATTCGAGAATACTTCCATTAATCTTCGAGAATCTATCCAAATTGTCTAATTAATATAGACTTAAGGACTTAATTGAGATTTTCGATTTAATGCCAAAAATACGTGTTTGTTACAGAGCTGATAATCAAGCTCAATCTTGGCCCAGTTATCAAAATTAATGACCCGAATCCGAATCTTAATCAACCGAGCTAAGATAATAGTTCATGAATTATGTAAAAATCATATTTCTCTACCCTAACATAGAACTAAATTTTGTTCGTTAACTAAATGAGCTTGAGCCAGGCTCGTTTGATCAAGTCATACTTGAAGCTTAACTAGCTGAGCCTACAAGCGGCTCGGTTCATTTAACAGAGCTCCAATTGTCTTGTGGATTTTAATATGATTTTGGTTATAGATTTTAGTAAATTATGATAAAACAAACTAGTGCATTAACCATTATATCTAATAGCTGAAGGAACATACATAGTATTGGCAAATGCTTGACTAATAGAATTGCAGTCTATTCTGTATGAATGTCACATAGAAAACTAAAAAATTTATATGCGGACTGAGACAAATATGTAGCCGCATATCACTTGCCTTCTTTGGATATGGCGTTCGTTGGCTAATATAAAAAGTTGGCCCATATTCCCTACTTTTTTTTTTCATTGCTTTTTCCTTTTGTCCCAAGGTTGGGTGACTGGGTGTGTTTTAAATGAAGAATTATATGCCACAAATTGCTATACNAAACAATTCGATTAATTGCTTTATTCATTTAAAATTTTATATGAAATCGAATCCCTATTAGGCAATCAATACCTCTTTGATCTCAACATCAAATATGCCTCCATGTCTCCATCTCTAACTCGATTTAGTTTACTAGGTCTGTTTGCCGAGGCTACAGTGACCCATTGTTATAGAGAAGTTAATTTTGCAGCCGATTGTTTGGCGACTTTAGCGCATCAATATCCTAGTGGTTGCCAACGTTTATTACACCCACCAGTAGTAGTTTAACCGTGGATACAACATGACCTCATTGGCGTTGCTTACCGCCAAATATAATTGCCTCAAATTCTTAGGCTATTGCCTCCTCTCTTTGTACAAAGAAAAAAAAAATTTGCACTTTAAGTAGTAAGAAATTTTTTTTTTCAAGAAAGATGATCGTACAATAATACAAATGCTATTTAACCTATTAGTTATATTTGTGTTCAAAACTCAGTCTCCACCGAAATACCTAATACAAAACAAAATAAGTAAGATATTTGTATTATTATAAATTTAATTATCTTCTTTAATTCGAAGGTGGGTTTGGGGCCCCACCTTCGGTATAATGATCGAATCCAATTTCATTTTCTTCTCTTCCTGGTCTTCGACCAGTATACAGTACTAAGAATTCTTATTTCATAGAATTCTTAGCTTCTTCATAATTGTATGATCGATTGATTTCATCAATCTCTTCCTGGTCATATTTCATTGACCAGTATCTTCAAAAAGTGAATTACCGGCGCACCACTCCGAAGTGGCAGCCAAACTAGGACTTCATTCTGGATGACTTCTTCTCATTTCTTACTATTCTTATTTTGAAAGACATTTTAGGCTTAACTTTGGTCCTCAATAATACATAAAAAATAACTTTTGTTTCCATCATCAAGATTTCAATTCCAAAACCTCTGCTTTTGGTTGTTTTTTGGTCTCCTAAGCTTTAGCTGCCTTATTAAACTTGTTAGCTGCACTCGCTCAAGGGCCTGCTTTCGTTTCGTTCCCTTCTTTTCTTCGCTTCGCTCTCCCCTGCTTCTCTTCTTTAGTTTCTTCTGGTCCAGCCTATACTGATAGTATCTTTTTAAAAAAACTCTACTCATAGCTTGTTGAAGGTGAAGTTTCTAAGTTTATAAAGAAAACAATTCCTTCTGTCGGGTATCCCCGATTAATGCAGCCTCAGATGCTTCAATTATCAATTCTAGCATTGAACGAAAGGTTACACCAAGGTCTATGGGGTTCCGTATTGCAGGTTAACCCTACCCTACTAGTACCTATAGGCGGCATAGAGGAAGAAGCACTACGCCTAGGAATCAACAACATGAAAACTTTGTTAGAAATTATCCGTGCTTATTGTTTTGCGGTGGGCACATTCGTAGCTCATCTTCTCGGACTTCTCTTCTTCGTCTTCAATCATTCCTGTGATTCCTAGTCCTGTGATGCAAAGCACTAGTGGCTGTTTGCCTATAGCGGTTTTGAATACCGATTGCGGATGATACTGTACACAGTTGGGTCCTTCCTTGTGGGACCTAATCCCCGATATCGAGATCCCTTCTCAAGATGTCTTTTCGCACTATTTACTCGATATACCTAGTAGCTTCATATTTTAAATGCAGCGCGTCACATTTACAGGCGCATTTCAAAATAACAAGAAACTAGTACAACACATGTGTATTACACGGGTGCTTGTTAAAAAATTATTTTTAAATTTTAAAATTAATGAAAAAAATTATTTTAAATTTTATTTACTTTCTTACAAACAAAATATATTATCATATATTTTAGAATGACACTTATAATTTGTGCGACTTACATGTGTTAAATTATTGTATTTTTTATAACTTATATCATATAACTACTTGAAATATAAATATATTAATTGATGAATAATTTTATTTTTATAATTAATATTAAAAAAAGTTTATTATTGTTATAAAGATAAATATAATTTTTTTTTACACATACAATATAGATGTTAAATCGAAACTCATCAAGAGATGATTAATTTGATATATTATATATGTAAAACTGATAAAAAATACAAAAGTTATTAACTTTTAAAATGCATTTACAATTCGATAGTTATAATAAGAAATGAAATTAAAATGTCCATAAATAATCAATATATTTATGGATAATTCGAACTTAATTATAAATTAAAATCTAATAACGAATCATGTAATTTTGCCACATAGGATCTCGAAGCATGCTGGCCTCCAGCAAATTAATATATAGGGGGATAATAATAAAAAATAAATGAAAATTCAAAGTTAAATATTCTATTGGGCGGTGATGCAAGATAAATCACCCGCATGTGAGGCAACTCGATCTCCAACTGGGGGATAATAATAAAAAATAAATGTAAATTCAAAGTTAAATATTCTATTGGGCGGTGATGCAAGATAAATCAACCGCATGTGAGGCAACTCGATCTCCAACTTGTGCAACTGTATTTTCCGGCTATATCCACTCTTTGGACCCCGCGAAAAAACCCTTTCCGCAAGCACTGTCTGAGTTCACAAATCCAAACATTTTTTCAGAACTGGAAATCATCGGTTTTCATTTTTCTTCAAATTATCCTAACATATCAGAAGGCTCATCAGCTTTAATTTCGTAAAGGATGGCGTCCGTTTGCTTCTCTTGCGCTCCCGCCACACTCTCTCGCAGTCGGTTAGTTTACCTCGTTTTCTCTCTCGTGATTTGAATCCGGTTCTAGGTGAAAGGAATGTGTTTTTCTCGTGTGTTGTAATGTGCAATTTTGGGGGTTTAGATTGAAATTCAGTTGAGTTTGCCTGTTTTGTGCTTATCATTTTTTTCATCGGCTAGTGGGGGACATGAAGGAAACTGTTTGTCGTTTTTTTTTTAATTAATGGAATAAAATAGAAAAATTGAAGTTATGATTCATTGGATATGCGAATTTCACGTCCCTTTTGAGAATGGATTTTATCTGTTTGGACCCAAGAGCTGGGAATCGGACTGTAACAGCGCTTTGGTCTAGTATGAGGTACATTTCCTGCCAAATCCTCTCCTCCCAAGATATATGCTGTCAGAAAGGAGGAAAAATAAAAATAAAAAATATTAGCGGAAGAAAATTTTAAATTAATCCAAATTGTCTATGTGTTTGTGGTGTCATGTTTACTCTTTCTCGTGTTAAGTGGGATTTTGAACAGAGTATTGTATTTTCATCCTTTTGTCCAGTATTGATATTGTGTTTGTGGTGTCATGTTGACTCGTTTCTAGTGGTGTTTGCCTCATACAAACTGGCTACCTTGACGCATGGCCTTCTTGGAATGTCAGTTATAACTTTTCACTAATTTAATCCGCATACCCAATATTAAGCAACACACCGCGATCATTAAACATTAAAAAATGTCAACAATACTCAAAATGGATATCACTGTTACGTAGTTGTTCATGCTGATGCATTTTTACTCATTTCTTGAAGGAAAATAATAGTTAATTTCTGTGGTTTACATAAAATACGTGAGTGCACGTAAGCCGACATTTTCTTTTATTAATGAAATCAGGAAGTTCCATTCGCTCGGTTGTGCAAACATGCACTCTTTGAACGGAATAGAGTCCGTGAAGCAGCCAAGTGCAAAAACAGCCCTACGCATCAAGGCTAGTATGATTATTAAATCAGAAGCTTTCTCTGGAGAGAGCAACTTTCTGCATACGTCTGCTAGTGTAGCAAGTAAAGCTGTCATCAGCGACTTAACTGGTGGAGTAGAGGTACAATCTGATTCTGTGGTATTAGGAGCGCTTTCAGCCGATATGGCTCCAACTACAAGTGGATTTCCTGTTGAGAACAACGAATTTGATTTGGACCTGCCATCACAAGGTTTCACATCTATTCCAGAAGCAATTGAAGACATTCGGAAAGGAAAGGTTGGTATCGCTTTATTTTTTGATATTTTATGAAACTGAAGTTTGTACTTTACCAAATATTTTGGTCATTATTGTAGATGGTCGTTGTTGTAGATGATGAAGATAGGGAGAATGAAGGAGATCTAATAATGGCTGCTTCAAAAGTTACACCAGAGGCCATGGCTTTCTTTGTGAAACATGGAACTGGGATTGTTTGTGTTAGCATGAAATCAGAGGACTTGGAGAGGCTGCAGCTCCCTCTGATGGTGAGCCATAATGAGGAGAAACTTTGTACAGCATTCACTATTTCAGTGGTATGTTTCCTTTTATCTGCTATGGATTTTTGTACTATGCTTCTTTTTATTGTCCACTCTCGTATATTATCTACTTAAGCTAAGAAAGTACACCTGGAACTTGGATTAATTGTAAAATTGCAAATATTCACCATCTCCAAGACGTGATTTTTCTTTCTAGGAATAATTTTAAAAACTATGGTGAGGTTTGGATTAATTAATAGAGGTCCACAGCATTCTTGGAAGTTACGGTTTGATTCTTGCCTTAAATTTAAGGTGATATCTGTAATATTTATATGCGTGTAAGGAGTTTTCTGATCTTTCCTTTTTATTTTTATTTTTTCTTTTTTGAAGGGTGAATGTATTACACAAAGTACAATGACACAAACCTGAAATTTTGAAAATTTTAAACAAATTCATAAGGATGGTTTTTGTTATCTGTTTTATGGGTTGCACTTGCAGGGTTTTTGGTTTAGCAAAATGTTAAGGAAGTTTTCGGATGCCTTGCATAGATATTTCTAAATTTGAAATATAACTAATTTATTTCTTTAGTCCAAAATGAGAAAATATAGCTAATGTAGCAAAATACTATGCCTTACTATGTAGGATGCAAAACATGGTACAAGCACGGGAGTTTCAGCTCGTGATAGGGCAATAACAATAAAGGCTCTTGCATCAAAAGATTCGAAGCCCGAGGATTTCAACCGCCCAGGGCACATATTTCCGTTGAAGTACCGAGAGGGTGGTGTTCTTAAAAGAGCTGGGCATACAGAGGCTGCTGTGGATCTTGCTGTGCTAGCTGGATTAGAACCTGCTGGAGTTTTGTGCGAAATTGTCGATGATGATGGATCTATGGCCCGACTGCCGAAGCTTACGCAATTTGTGCAGCAAGAGAATTTAAAGATGATATCTATTGCTGATTTAATAAGGTAATATATCCAATTAGTTATGGGAATGGTCAATTTAGCTTTTGGTGCAATATGATATATATCCAAAGTCATTTACTCAGCCACCTATCAGTTAAAATACACTATTCATCTCACTTTTCTCTCTTTCCTTCACTCACAATTTTCAATACAACTTTCAATCAGATATCAAGCATTACTACACATTTCTCTACAAAATTTATTATTCCTTCCCTCACATATTATAACTACCATTCATTATGTTACTTTTCCCTAGCAAATTACGATTATTATTATTCTTTATATCACATCATTTTACGTTAGAAAATCATTAAGGCCATGCTTGAATATAAATTTGTTCACTCAAAATGGATTTTTAGTTAACTAAAGTTAATTTAAAAAAATATGGTATGATTAGTTCTTAGTGAAATTTTAAGTTTATATTAAAATAATATTTAAAATAAAATAATTAAAATTTATTTAATTTAAAAGTACTAGAAATATGATTAGACTGGTGGTTAGTTAAAAAATTATGAGAGTTGATAAATAGTAAATTAAATTTATTGCAATGTATAAAAATGATTGATTGATATTATTTAATTATATTAATAGTATTGAAGATACCGATATTAAGTAAAAGTTGAATTAAAATTTGAGTCGGATAAAATATGGATTGAAAATTTTTATATCCAATCACGACCTAAATCTTCCATTAATTTTCTTTCACCAACTAGAAATTTTTTCCCCAATGAAATCATATCCAATCACACCTGTCTGAAGTTGTCATAATCATATTTTTTAGTGACCTTGAACTTTTGGATCGGTTGGCTTTCTTGCCGAATTTTCAGTTGGACAAGCCAACACAATCTCCAGAATCGGAAACTGCCTCCATCTATCTAGTAGTATCTCAGATCATGCAGTTTGTAATTTCTTTTAAATTATTTCTCGAGATGCTTTTGATTTTTCTGTATAATCACCGAGTGTTCCAATATATCTTATACGGTACCTCACGCGTGCAATGATATGCAGATATAGGAGAAAAAGAAATAGATTAGTGGAACAAGCATCTGCTGCTCGTATACCAACTATGTGGGGACCATTCACTGCGTATTGCTATAGATCAATTTTGGATGGGATCGAGCATATTGCAATGGTTAAGGTGAGTGGTCAGGGGAATTTTGTTATTTATTCAAGTCAATCTATTTTCTGCATTTTTGCTGATCTTGGATGACTGTCTCAGCATTTTTTGATGTAATGTGTTGCTAATTGACCATCAAGAGCCGGAACTTGAAGGAACATGAATGGCAGTACTCTTTGATGAGAAAATTCTGAGTATTTTATTGGTATCCTGTTGCACTATTTGATATCACATACAAAAACGTGGTTTGACAATATTTACAGAAGAATTCAAGGGTCTCTGAAAATAGGAAAAAGGAAGACCTTGATATCAAATTCTGTCTTACCATTATATTGTCAAATATCACAAATAAATGTGCATTGTAAAAGTAGTTTTTGCTTATGTAGGCGGGTAAAATGAATGCATAATCGAACCTTGAGGTCCTTTATCAATTTTTTTCACTTATCTCTGGGTTCTTTTTAACCCATACCTGTGTTTATGTGTGTTTTAATAATTCCAATATGTTTTTCTTTGTCAATATATTGAGAAAATTGTAACTTCCAAAGTTTCAAAAGTGGCTGCTTCTTGCTTTGACCTTTTGTCATTCTTAGAATCAGTTCAAAAGATTTTCCTAGTGATATTTTATGGGGTGTAAATAGGGTGAAATTGGGGATGGACTGGATATCCTCGTGAGAGTACACTCAGAGTGTCTGACTGGAGACATATTTGGGTCAGCCAGATGCGACTGCGGGAACCAGCTGGCACTTGCGATGCAGCAGATAGAAGCTGCTGGTAGGGGTGTTTTGGTCTATCTCCGTGGCCACGAGGGCAGGGGAATTGGGCTGGGCCATAAGCTTCGGGCTTACAATCTGCAGGACGATGGGCGTGATACTGTTGAGGCAAATGAGGAGCTCGGTTTGCCGGTTGACTCAAGAGAGTACGGAATTGGTGCACAGGTATTGGCTACTTATATAAGTTTTTTCATTACAACTATTTGTACGGTGTGCAAATTTTCTCAAGAATTACCCTAATTGGCTAATTAAGAAAAAATAGAGATCTTGCGAAGTTAAAAACACCTTATTAATGATGACAAGACCAGGCTAAAATGATGTAATCATTTGGGTTCCATTTAATTATATAGGGACCTGCTTGATTATCCTGTCTCTTATTTAGATAAAGATGCAATTTAATAAGTTTATATTATTTATATTATATCATATCAAGTGTTTTTAAACTTCCCAAACACCAGTTGGGCCAAAGTTGATGAAAACCCCGGTAACCAATGCATATTACCAAACATATATTACCATCCTACTAAAAGTATCCTCAACAGTGTCATCCTTCTATATTTGTTAAACTGCATCTTCATTCTTAAATGTGTTCTGATGGACTGGGGACTGTTTGTGGTATTGGAAGATAATAAAATAATTATTATAAAGAATTTCTCAGATTGCTAATTTTTTATAATCACTGTGTGCAGATACTGAGAGATCTTGGGGTTAGAACTATGAAACTTATGACAAACAATCCTTCCAAATACATTGGGCTCAAGGGTTATGGTCTGGCTGTTGCTGGCCGGGTTCCTCTTGTGACCCCAATCACAAAGGACAACAAGAGATACCTTGAGACTAAACGTTTCAAAATGGGTCACGTTTACGGATCTGATATCAATGGCCAGCCACCCATCATTGGTAAGAACGAGAATGGTCGACCAGGTGGCGATAATCCAGCTAAATCTGAATCATAAGATTTTAGGTAATTTAGCTTGTTACTCAAAATTGACTTGAATAAAAGATTGGGAAACCACAGTTTACTTCTGATTTTGTCATGTTTGTCTTGAAATCTTGACGTGGGGATTTATTCTTTCTTTTGTTTATTTTATGAAAAAGACAATGAAGGTGATACTGTTGTCATTTTTATATTAGTTTGTTTGTGTGTGTGGATCAGTGGATGGTTAGTGCTAATGCAAAGTTATAATTATTACAGAAAACCTCGAAATTCTTGAGCCCATGTTTGGTAAATAGCATTAACTCGTAAATGGTTGTTACATGTAACTAAGATCCTGGGAATGCAATTACATTGTACTGAGAGGGAGGACGTTCGAAGATCTTCCATTCTAGGGCATTAGCTGAGTGTTTGAAAATTCCGTCGAGTGTGGGTAGGCCCACCTTAGGTTTCCTTTTTTCTCTCTGTCAGGGTGGGGTAGTTTCTTCTAAGTTTAGATTTCCAGCTTTTCTGTGGTTTTTTCTTTTGGGTTTGTCTTTGCAGGCTTGCAGATGGATCCCAAATCAATCGGAACTACTAGTGAACAGGGTTTAACGAAGGAGCTGGGAAATAGGCTATGGAAAATTGATCTATCGCAATCAGAAACGAAAATTATCGAAATATATTAAAGTTTATGAAATTGCAATTAGGTTCTTGGGTCTATCAAATTTTTAAAAATCACTCAGTCTCAAATCAGAATTTCTCGTCAGCGCTCTGGTCTTCAAATACATCGGAGACGCCTGATTTTGGGAGGCGACATCACTTTCCTAAACGTCGACATCCTCGAAACCATCAGAAAGCTTCATGTCTAGGTTGCCGCCGTCAAATTCGGTGTTGCGGCGGTAGCAGGAAGTTCTGCGGTGGTAGGAGGAAGTTTTGCGGCGGGGTTCTGGAGCAACGATTAGGGGTGAGCATAGGTCGGTACGGTTTGGAGATTGAGAAATTTCCAGAACCGTACCAAAATTCGGAGATCATTAAATTCGATTTCCGGAATCGTACCAAAAAATCGAGACGGTTTGGTTCGGAGATTTTTATTTTTCGGTTCGGTTCGGTACTCGGGACTATCGGAACAGTTCGATTCAGTATGTTTCAGTTCGGATTTTTAGAGATTTCTTATTTTTTAAATTTTTTAATGACTACTTAGTTATACAACAACAACAACAACAACATACCCAGTATATTCCCAACAGATTGGGGTCTGGGGGGTCAGTTGTACGCAGACCTTACCCTTGTAATTATACAAGGAGACTGTTTCCGTAGTGACCCAAGGTGCATTGCGTCGTTGATATTTTTTTTTTTCTAGAAACTTCACTACCTAGTTATATTTTAACTTTTATATGCTTCAGAAAAAATAACATTCATCAATACTTCATAATATTGAAGATTTTTTTTTGAAATTAACATTAGAAGTAACTCGAAATTTTAGTTATTTAATTTTTATATGCTTTAGAAAACAAAAATTCATCAATACTTCCTCATATTAAAAAATTTATTTGAAATAAACTTTAAAAATAATTCTAAGTTTTAGTTAAGACTAAATTGGTGCAACTAATATTGAAAATTTAAAATTCAAACAAAATATAATATAGTTTTTTCTTGCAAAAACATTCTTTAACCTTTCATACCATTTTAAATAATTTTTTTATAACACTAAAAATTCAATTGTAGATCAAGTATTACTAAGCATGAAATTTAACTGTGAAGTTTAATTGTTATTTACTATATTTTATATGCATTTTAAAAATTCTCATATATAAAAATTATATATGATCAAAGTTAACATAAAATATATTAATAACACACATCTAATGTTATAATTCGGTTCTTAATTTTGGTTCTTCGGTTCGGTACGGATATTTTTTAAATCTCCAGAACCGTACCAGAAGATAGAGTAAGCCCTTGTTGGGTGAGTAATTTAGTTGATGAGGATAGTGGGGTGTGGGATAGAGAGCTAGTGAGACAAACTTTTATCCCTGAGTAAGCTGAGACCATTCTCAAAATTACTCTTTCTCTGGTGGGTAGGAAGGATAAACTTAGCTGGTATTTTAGGAAGTTTGGTTAGTTTAGTGTCAAGTCTGCTTATGAAGCTTTTGTGAATAAGTTGTTGCTGTCAAGGGAGGTCGCTAGTTCTAGTCTTGGGTTTAGGTTTGAGAATAAGGTTTGGAGGGTCACCTGGAACCTCCCTGTTAAAAACAAAATCAAACATTTTCTCAGGAGATACTGCTTCAAGTATCTGAGTACTTATGATCAGTTGGTTAAGAGGAAGATGCCAGAGGACAACATATATTCTCTCTGTGGGATGGAAAGTGGGGATCTTGAACATATATCAATTGCACTTGAGCTAAATTTGTCTGGAAGCTGAGTGGAGTGACCTAGAACAATCTTAATATATCATAACCCTACTTTCAGGTGCTGATGGGGAGATATTTGTAGTGCTCCTCAAGTGGGTAGCATTATCGACAAAATTAGCCTTTCTCATATCTCCTCTGGTGGCTCTGGAGGCTTTGGAAGACAAGAAATGTGTGCGTGTTCCAAAGCAAAAGAATGAGTGAGAGACAACTTGTGGAAGGTACAAGGGTAGAGTGGTTTGAGTTTGCTGAAATTTAGGACAAGGTTAGAAGAGGAGATAACACAAGCATTCAGTTACCCATTGATCAAGAAGAGTACTTTCCTAAGAAGGTAGGACAGTGGTTTTTCACTGTTAGTGCCTTAAGCTCTTCAGTGAATCAATTGGAGTTGACCCGTCTTGCTGAAAATAGGGAGAAGAGACACAAGTGTGGAAAGCAAAAATCTGGTATGGTGGCTGTGAGGAAGAAATGTGGCTGGAAGCTGTAAGGTGGGCAATCATGAAGGCTTCGCATGCAGGATGGAGCCAGTGTTGCTGAAGAGTGAACAACAGAAGAATATTCTTGAAACTTAGCAAAAAAGATTATGCATTTTGATTCATGTTGCATTACTCTTCCAGCAAATCTAAATATTTTTATATTTACATACCATACTTTAAAATATAATATAAAAAAAATGACATCTTATAAAATAAATATACACTTTCCTGTAGAAAATATGACTGTTTAATAACCGACACCAAAACAGCATTTGTGATTTTAATAAGCTCATGAGATTACTTTCATGTAAAAGATACACCACGATTCATGTACTATAATTTAACCCAAAAAAAAAAGCAGCATGAGCTCTTTGCCATTTTTCTTTCTTTTTGAGATTCCCCAAATGTATGCTGTAAAAGAGAGACAATAATGAAATTTTTTCTCCATACATTTCCTAAATGGACACCATGCCAAAAGAGGCCACCACAATTTACAAATCTGGTTAGTGATGAAGAATATACATCCGGCAGTATATACATGAAAAAATAAACTCAACAAAGAAAAATAGATGAAAATAACAAAACATACAATAATTGAAATTAAATTGAATTGCTTGGTAACGTTTCTCCTAAACCGTTTTTAATTAAAACAGGCGTTCATAGGAAAAAAGCACATTAAATTCGAGCTTAAAATTTAAAACCACAAAAGGCAAGTTCCACTTCCACCTAATTCAGATTCACACACGTTTTACAACTCACAAGGTGACTGTTTTTTCCCCCATAATAAGCAAAACATAAATTCATCGCATCTCAGCCGTCGGTACACACTCATTTACAGGTGGGAATTCCGATCAACGGTGACCGTGAATAGCTGGAATAATTAACTCATTTACTCGTTTGAAACGCCTCTATAAATACAGATCCACCACACACCCTTTCCCCACTCTCTCTCTCTCTCCCCCCAAATCAAACGCCTCATTTTTTCTGTCTAAACTTTTCAGCAATGGCCGTTTGCAGGTCTCTTTTGCTGCTGACGGCGGCGTGCGTGCTGGTATCGGCCGTGGCGCGGTCTCCCGCCGCTAATCATCCGGCTCACGCGCCGCACCTTTCCCCGGCGCCGACCGCCGCTCGGTGGCCCCCCACTCCTCCGCCAGTGTCCCCCGTGTCTTCCGTCGCCTGGCCTCCTTCCACCGATCTGGCCCCACAGCCCTCAAGAAACGGCGGCGTAGTGAACAGGCTAGGGCTTGCGGCGGTGGCCGCTGGTTTTATCGCCGTCTTTCATTGTGTTTTGTTGATGTGTTTGATACTTTGATTAGACATATGATTCATCCATTAATTCAACATTTTTTATTTTTATGTTGTTCCAGTTTTGTGGTGTTCATTCCTATCGACTTTTGATGAGTGAAAATAGGTAATTAAAAAATAAAAAGATATATTAACAAACAAACAATAATAAACACAATCCCCTTATAAATTTATAAATAAAACTAATGATGTATGTTATAAATTAGTTTTCAGAATTTAAAATGATATTGTTGATTGACTTAGTTCTTTATTATAAATTATTATATATTATCCCTTATTTAAAAAAACCAAAACTAAAGATTTTATTTTGATTTTTAAATACTTGGTAAAAAAAATAGCATTATTTTCTTCAAATTGAAATTTATCACCCACCACACTAGCTCATACGTACTGTATTATAATAGTTTTTTTCTAACTCATATAATACAATAGGCTTTATAAATCATTTTATTTATTTCTTAAACAACATTTTAATTTAGTATTTTTCAAGTATGATTAATAGATAATTTATTTTTTAATTATGAAGGTGGATATAATTATTATTATTATTTTTATTTAATATATGAAATAGGACAATCGTCAAAAATTAATAAATTTGATAATATCATATATAAAATGGGTAACAAATACTAAAACTATTAAATTTTAAAAGTTTTATAGTTATGAAAAAAAAAATCAAATCTATATATATCTAAAAAGGTTGATGTAAAAATCCTTTTTTAGAAACCTAAAAATAATTGAGTTGACTTTTGACTTTCTATTTATGTATTTTACTTTAAAATCAGAAGAAAAATCGTGAAAAGGCAGTGGATATTTCGTTAATTTAGCATGAAATTTGCGTTAATTAAGCAAATGGATATTCTTCTTAATAATGGTGATATTTCGGTTAATTAAGCATGTGAAATTGATTGTCCGTTGCAAAAAATCATGGGACTTACTATCTATCCAAATACAATCCATAACTATCTTATCACTTTTGGTTAATAAAAAATATGTGAAATTGATTGTCCGTTGCAAAAATCATGGGACTTACTATCTATCCAAATACAATCCATAATTATCTTATCACTTTTGGTTAATAAAAAATTGTATAAAAGGATATTCACTACCACCATTAC